ATTTTTTTTTTTTTTTTTTTTTTTTTCTTTTTTTTTGTTGCTCTTCTTTCTCCTCCAGCTGCTGCTGCTGCTACATTTGCTGCTGTTGCTGCTGTTGCTGCTGCTGCTGTTGCTGTTGCTGCTGCAGACATGTAGAGTCCCTTATACGTATATCAGAGGCGAATGCAAAAATGCGACTGTCTCCTACAGTGTCTCCTCTTGATGTTGATTTTGCCATCGCTGCAATTTTAAATTCTTTTATTTCTTCGCAAACTTTTGCTGTACAACAAAAATTATCAAGAGAATTTGCTAGGTATTTATTTATTTTATTTATTTATTTATTTATTTTATTTATTTTATTTATTTATTTATTTATTTAGTTACTTAGTTTTTTATTACCCTCATGGAGACCTAACTAACGATGGGTCCCGGTATATATATTCCTTCCTTTGTTTATGCATATATACACCTAGCTAGCTAGCTAGCTAGCTGGCTAGCTAGCTAGGTCTGTGGAGCTAGCTAGCTAGCTAGCTAGCTAGGGAGGGAGGGAGGGAGGTAGGTGTATAGGGGAATATGTAATGAATTATGTGGGTGTGCATGCATGCGTGCATGCATTCGTGCTGCAGGTATACCGCATTGGCTACAGGAGGATGGGCAACACTTGCTGCGCTGCTCAGACGATTGCTGCAGCAAAGGCTGCAGCGGGCTGCATTGCTGCAGCAGCAACGGCAGCAACAGCAGCAGCAAACAGGCGGAGAAGCAGATGCTGCTGAGCAGCTGCTGCAGCAGCAAGACATCGAGAAAGCAAGAAAGGTCGACTTTACAGACTTCTTAAGAGTAAGTACTTTATTCAGGTGTATAGGCAGCTGCATGCAGCAGCAAATGCATGCATGCAGCAGCAAATGTATGCATGCATGCAGCAGCAATCGTCGTGTTGTCTGTGTGGTGATTATTTTATGTGTTCTTTTTATTTATTTATTTCCTTGCATTCTTTTATTTATTTATTTATATTTCTTTATTTATATTTATCTTATTTATTTATTTATTTATTTATTTATTTATTTATTCAGTTAGCAAGCCAACATAAGTTTACTGCTTATCAAGTAGAGAAATGGGTCTCGTCAAATTCCTTCAAGGCTCATTTCTCTCTTATTGAGGTAAACCCTAAACCCTAAACCCTAAACCCTAATATAAACCCTAATAAACCCTAATAAACACTAGGAATAAATAAACCCTAATAGTAGGAATAATAAACCCTAATTATACTAAACCCCTCACGACAAGATCGCCAAACTTAAAAGGGACAATGCAAATTCAAAAAATGTCCACAAACCCTAAACCCTAAACCCTAATATAAACCCTAGTAAACCCTAAACCCTAGCCATCATGTAGTCATTGATTAATACATTCAAACCATTATAATGCCACTTCTAATTTAATCAAATTAAGGAGAAGCAGCAAACCCTAAACCCTCTGCGCTACAGAGAGAGGGAGAGAGGGTTTTTTTTAAGGGTTTACGGGCTGCCGTTATTAGGGTTTAGGGTTTAGGGTTTGTGTGGGCACAGGAAGACAACTGCAAGCGTCTTGTCAGCAACAACTGGCGTAGAGAGACTCCAAGCCAATCCACTGCAGCATAAATTGCCTTTTAGGCAGCTGTGCTGCTGTTGCTGCTGCTGCTGCAGCAACAGCAACAGCAAATCATCTGCTGCAGCAGTATAATATAGGCTGCTGCTGCAGCAACAGGTTTAGCTGCTGCGAGTGTGCAAGTTGCCTCCGCTGACACGAGCCCATCAGCCCCAGCAGCAACTGAAGCATAACACCAGCAGCAGCAACGGTTACTGCTGCTGCTGCAGTTGTTGTTGCTGCTGCTGCTCTTTGAGCCGTACACGCTCTTAAAATGCCACCAGAGCAACAGTGGGAAGGACAGTCTTTGCTGTTGCTGCTGCTCGCCACTACCTGCTGCTGCTGCTGCTGCTGCTGCTGCTGCTGCAAACAATGCTAGCAGCAAAACCCCATATATAGTGCAGTATAAGCAGCAGCTAGCGCACTGCTGCTGTTGCTGTTGCTGCTGCTGTTGCTGCTGATAGTACATAATATATTTTGCTCTACCGCAGCAGCAGCAATAGCAGCAACAGCAGCAGCAGGAGGAGGAATAATAATAAATTAGATACGTCTTTTTTTTTGCTGCAGCAGCAGCAACTCCCTCCTGTCTTCCTCCTCTGCTAATAATCTGCTGCGCCTCTCCTCCTCTAATTGACGAGAGAAGCTGCTTTCTTGGCATTCCCCCCAATCGAGCTGTGCATACACCGTAGGATCGTACCCAGTTACAGCACGCATTTCCTTCCTCCAGTCGGGTTCTGTATCACCTTTCCTCTTGCTGCTGCTGCTGCTGCTGTTGCTGTTATTGTTGCTGCTGCTGCTAGAGGGGAGCTCCTCCTCTTCATCATCATCCGCTATAAATGATGATAAATCTGAATCCCCGTCTTCCCATTCCTCCTCGCTGCAGCTCCGCTCGTCTAGATCGAGCTGCTGCTTCCTCTGCTGCTGCTGCCCTCCCTGCTGCTGCTGCTGCAGTTGCTGCCGTTGTCGCAGCAACTGCTTCGAACGACATCCTACAGGAAGGGAAACTGGCAAACGAGCAGTTGGGGAAGGAAGGAAACCTCGAGGCTGCTGCTTCTCCTGCTGCAGCTGCTGCTGCGGTGTCCTGTGCTGCTGCTGCTGCTGCTGTTTTGATCCTGCAGGCTGCTGTGGGAGAGCCCGAGAAGGCTGAAACGCTAAGACTTTCTGCTGCTGCTGCTGCTGCTGCTGCAGTGCCTCATGCTGCTCCTTCTCCCGCAGCAGCTTCTGCATCAGCAGCTGCCGCTGCCTGTGCCGCTGCAGCGCCTGCTTGTTTCCTGCTGCAGTGACGGGTATCTTCTGCTTCGCCTGACTAGTAGCAGAGCCAGGAGATTTCCGCTGCTGCTGCCGCTGCTGCTGTTGCTGTTGTTGCTGCTGCTGTTGCTGCTGTTGCTGTTGCTGCTGTTGGGTCTGGCGGTCGCGAGATGGTGTTGTTGGCTCAGAGTGAGGACGAAGAACTTCTTCTCTCTGTGACTTCTGCTGCCGCTGCTGCTGCTGCTGTTGCTGCTGCTGCTGTTGTTGCTGCTGTTGCTGCTGCTGCTTCATATTTCTTGGGTTCCATGGCTGGACACCCCTAGCAAGATCAATGCCATTGTCGCTGCTGCTGCTGCTGCTGTTGCTGTTGCCTGTGTGTCTGGGTGGTGAAACAACTGTTGTTGCATGCGCTGCTGCTGCTGCTGCTGCAGTTGCTGCCTTAAGTGCCTCACTAGATATTGCTGCATCTCCTCTATCGAAACCCTCAGGACGCTCGCGCAGCAAACGGACATCGGGGTTGCTGCTGTCCAGCGGCGTGCTGCAGATATGCTTAACGATCTTGGTGCCGTCTTCCCCCCGCAGCACGACCACGCTGCTGCTGCTGCTGCTGTTGCTGCTGCTGTTATTATTCTTATTCGCGAAAAATGGATGTTTTGAACGAGATTTGCTGTTGCTGCTGTTGTTGCTGCTGCGGCTGCTGCTGCGCTGCATGCTGCAACTCCTGCTGCTGCCACCAGATACGCTGCTGCCGGAGCTGCGTGGGATCGACGATCCCGCACGATTCCCTACAGGCATCCTAAATGCTGCTGCTGCTGTTGCTGCTGCTGCTGCAGCCTTCGGAGGTCTACCTTGCTTCCTCATTCGCTGCATATCCTCCTCTAGCTGCTGCCGCTGCTGCAGCAGCTCCTGCTGACGCTTCTGCAGCTGCTGCTGCAGCGCAGCGTGTACACTCTCCCTTGCATCCTCCTGTTGGCTGCTGCCACTGCTGCTGTTGCTGCTGATGCTGCAGCTGCTTGCTGTTGAACATGCACCCGTACTCGCGGTGGTACTGGGCTCGCTGCTGACACTGTTGCAGGTGCTGCTGCTGCAGCTATTATTGTTGCTGACGCTGTTTAAGCTGTTGTTAGTGCTATTATTGTTGCTGCTGCTGCTGTTATTGTCGCTGCTGCTGCTGCTGCTGCTGTTGTCGATTAACTTCCCCTCTTGCACCAGCTGTATCTGCTTCTCTACCTCAAGGAGTTGCTTCGTCATTGACTGTACTTGCTTCTGTGCCTGTCTGTCCCCTATAACACTTCTGCTTGCTGCTCGTAGCTGCTTCATGAGTTCTTGCCTCTTCTGCTGCAGCTGCTGCAGCAGGAGCTGCTGCTTCTCTGCCTCCCTCTGCTGCCTCTCCGCTTCACTGTTCTCCTGTTGCGCACGGTACTGCTGCTCTTGCTGCAGTTGCTGCTGACGCTGCTGTTGTAGTTGTTGCTGACGCTGCTGCTGCAGCTGCTGCTGCCGCTGCTGCTGCAGCTGCGCCACTTGCCTCCTCTTGTCATCTACAGAAGTTGAACGAGGCGGGCGCGAATAATAGAGATCTTTCTTTGGGGGCCCCACGATGGCATCGAGAAGGTCCATTTTGCTGCTGTTGCTGCTGCCGCTGCTGCTGCTGCTGCATGAGGGTTGCAGCAACAAGCACTGCTGCAGCCGCTGTTTCTGGCTGCTGCTCTCTGTGTCTAAAACAGAGCAAAATTGTTGAAATAAAGGCAAAGCTTCGAAGTCACTTAACGGGGTGTACGTACACCTCGACAGGAATAGAAGCTAGTTAATTAGATACAGAATAAATAAGGCATTAGAGGTGTTCTTGTCCTTAAGAAAAGAAGAAAAGATGAACAGTAGCATCTCGTGCTTCTGCAGCCCCGAGGCGGCCTTATAGAGTATTAAAAGAAAGGAAATAAGGCAATATAGAAAGATATTCCTCTATAAAACCTAAAACACCATTTATTCTTCGCCAGAGAACAAAACATAAAAAGAAGATAAAGAAACCTTATGAGGGTTTAATAGTAGTAGTAGAACTAGTAGTAGTATTAGTAGTAGTAGTAGGCTCTTGAGCGGCGCCTGTTGCTGGCTACTGCCGAAGAAGAAGCTGACAGACAGAAAGCTAGGAGCTCTTTACACACAGTTGTATGAATAATGTCAATTATAAAATAAAAATGAATAAGACCCTTTATTAATTAATTCATGGGTCTCAATAATTATGCTGCCTCTACAGCAGACAGCGCAGCTACGCAGCCTGCGTCATTGCGACGGCTTTATACAACATGGCGGGCGCTACGGCTTCAGGGCCCCAGGCCGCTTCGGCGCTCGCGCTTGCTGTCATATGAGTTTGTTCCCTTTTATTTAATTAAAATTACCCTTTAAATAAAGAAAAGACTTTATTTTCAATTTATTTTTGCCGGGTTCCAGCCCACACCCTTATGTTTGTTACTCCTCGCATTAGAGAGCATGCGCAGCGGCTGCAACATCTTCTGTATAAGCGGAAACGTGAATGTTGCTGTACTTCTGTGTTGGCTACCTCAAGAGAGCTGCCTCCTTGATACCTGAGATAATGCCTTGCTTCTATTTATTTAAATAATTGTAGCAGTTTTTCTTTTAGGACAATTTTTTTCAGTCAGTTTATGCCCGGTGGGCCATCTCAGCAGACTCCTCGACTGCCCGATCATGTATTGCGGGTGCTCGATCTTAACAGAGGCCTCTTGTTAGCATATATGTTGTATGCATATGAGCAGAAGTACTCAGCATAAGAAGTCTTTAAATGCTACTTACCTTCCCAACCTCTCAGAGAGTAGTACCAGCGTAGCGGATCTAGCTCCGTAACGGCAGGACAGAAGGAGGCCTGTCTTCCTAACATGCTTTCTTGGCTTTAAGCATTGACGTTGTAGGCGTAAAGTTTGCCCACCAGGGCTGGGTGGCTTGGTTTCAACTGATGTTGATGCAACACAGTAGGTCTTTGTAGCACCAAACATCAACCTTGGTATCTCGTACTGAGGTGCATCAATATAGCCACTGAGAACCCCCAGTAATGGACAGATGGGCTACATGCATAGAGTGTAGCCTTCAATTTTCTGCGCCTGCAGGCTGGCATTGTAAATACACTCATCTACATATACTTACATAGGCTGCTTGCTCCGTATTTGAACCACGCTTATCAATCAAACAAGAAGAAAACTTACGGACAATAAGCGAGTTGTCCGTATAGCTGCGGTAAACTCCTGCTAAAGCCATACCGTGCCATTATGCTGAACAATCTCGTCTAGATGCTAGAGTGATAATGGACTAGATTGGGGTGGTCAGTGTATCGCGCATGACTAAACCTGTACCCATTTGAAAATTTGCCCGAGTTTAAAAATATTTGTTGGAATGCATGGGCCGACACACTAGTCCCACACGCTTTAGCAAGCGTCCCACAGCCCAAACCGTTTGGGTTTGTGACTGCGCAACCAAGTATTGGAGGCATTTAGAAGTTGAGTGCAAACAGACCGACAGCAACCAACACACTGCTCAGAAGAGCACCGTAGACGGAGGTCCCACTAACTCCATTACTGAAGGTCGAGGTAACCTTCTGCCATGTGGCCTCCCTGAAGACAAACACATAAAACAAGACTGTGGACAATGTCAACCCAATACGTGCTCTTGTTACTTACGCTGGCCGGCTATATGAGATTTCACGATCAAGAATCCCACATGCTCCGTCGGAACGCTTTCAAGTGTGGTGTTGCAGAAGCAGAGATACAATATTTGGTAGATAACAACAAACGACGCAGATACTTTAATAGCTGGTTTCACGTGAAAGGTCAAGGAATAGTTCCTGCGGGAAATGAGAATACTGACGTGATGGGCGCTGTTCCGTCCTCGAAGACAGCTGGCTCGAGCACACAAAGCAAACCTTCCTCGCTGCACTTCTCCACGGTGTAGCATCGGACTACGGTCTCGTCGCCCTCACTGACGAGCGAGATAAAGTTTGTTGCTGCTCCTGTTTTGTAGATGTCTTCGCTTGAAGTGTACGTTGGAGGAATTGTGAGGTCTCTGAATAGACACACAAGCACTGCTCCACATACGGGATCGACTCTTTAATTAGAGGATGCGTAGGCAATGGAACTCCCAAATGGCTTCTCGCCATCTACTGCTGTCGTTAATGGTGTAGTGTGTCGATTGGGAAGGAGCTGCTCGAAAAGTCGGGAAAAAAGTTCAACCCCACTTGAACTTATCATAGCCCTTCTTCCATTCGGTGATTGCGTTAGAGCACGTGGCGCTAGACCCAGAGTAGTACATCACGCTGCGTTTATTGTTGGAAAACTGAGGTAAAAAATATAAACACTCACAATCAGAGCAAATAATTAAATAACGATTCAGCTCATGGTGATATTTGGCGCTCTGCTGTTCCGATAGAGTTTTATGTGGATTCCAAGACGTTGCACGAGGCCCGAAAACTAGAAAAAGAAATGTCGTTAGGCGCACCAGGATGGGGGCATTTCCAGCCTTGATGACGTCGCAGGTGAATGCCTTGGCAAGCTCAACGGATTCGGTTGGGGCAACGTCTTCGGGTGCCGCACCTGTGGAGGTCTGTGCCTTCGCAACGAAGCTGCTAAGGCCAAGACTGTCTTGGCTGCGGACTTCATTGATTTCTGTGAGGCAGTTATCCGCTTCGCCTAACATGACACAGTTGACAGTGGCTCGTAGCACAATTGCTTCCTAGCAGACTCCTGCTGTTGCATTGCTTCGGGTGAGAAATGCCTTGCTGATAACCCAACGCTAGCAAATATCTGGCTGAAACTGCACTTCTTTACAAAACATCTCTAAATGGAGCAGGCAGCACTTGTCATCCTTCTGTGAAGGCTTGTATATGGTGGTTGTGGTGGTGGTGGTGGTGGTGGTGGTGTGTGCTTGTGTGTGCGTGTGTGTGTGTGTGTGTGTGTGTGTGTGTGTGTGTGTGTGTGTGTGTGTGTGTGTGTGTGTGTGTGTGTAAGTTCCTTACTGCGTAATGTGAATTTGATAGTATCGCCTGCGCCGTTTCCATTTGCCTCGTTATCGAGGGCTAAAATCTTTTTCCATGTACCCTCGCTGCAACCATGCAGAAAGCGTCAACGTTTTACCTCCCTGCGGCCTACGTGGTTGTGTGTACGGCCGCGGTTGTCTACGTTTGTAATGTTCCAACCTATTAGTGGCTTCCTGGACGAAACTACGGGTGGATGGGACAGAGGCATCTGTATACAAGCAGCTTGGTCATGAGGAACAGAAGGCAAAGGCCCACCAGCATAGCAGCACACAAGCAAGCAGAACAGCTAACCCCACGAAGCCACATTGAATAGGGTTTGTCAGTTTGCATCTACTGCATCGAAGGGTTACAAGAACGAACGCAAGTGCTCCTGTCGTAGACTTTTCCTGCCAAGCTTCAAAGCCCACCTAATGGGCGGTGTGTTTTCCACCAAGGTCGGCTTTGACAGGAAGCAGATGAGGGCTGCCTTTTTGCAGCCAGTAGCATTGTAACACCTAATCTCGCGTGTGCCATCAACCATAAGAGAGACGAAACCAGCCACTGTGTTGTCGTAGTAGATTTCGCTAGCAGCTGCTGCAGCACGGATATGCTCGCCCTTGGCTTTGAAGGCTGGGGGAGTGTCGGGGCTGCAGATAATGATACGCATTACACATCTATCTGGGGGAAGAGTCCATGGAGGGTTTGAAACTCCATGGCGTACAGAGTTGCACCAACAGTGGCTGTCCGCCACAGTTCCAGTTACAGTTCCCATAGTTTTACTCATCCTCATGAATCAGCATTCTCATCAATTAGATAGGCCTTCCAACGTAGTTCCTGGTGGTTTGCATTTTGCGCATCTCCTGTGCGGGTAGGGTTGGTAGCTTACCCAAGCTGTTCATATCCAGATTTCCATATATCGACAGCTTCCGACGCTGTTGGGGGCTGTTGACCTTCTTTGACAGCGTAAATGAGAGTGTATGTCTCCTCAACCTGTTCGCATAATTCACCAACAGGCGTTAGCCAATCTCCCTTGATGACGCCGAGACCAACCTTAGTTCCGCACTCTGCGATTTGTGCGTCTGTCTATGTTTGGGAGATTTCTCCAACCAGATTTGATCTGGTGTAGCGTTCCAGAGGGCGTAATTAAGGATCTAGCGAAAATGCACTTTTGGGTCAATTGATCCATCCTCTATCTGGGCGCATGTCACGTTATACAGCGCGTCCTCATAAGGGGTGGAGGGGGTTCTTGATTGTTTTCCCCTGTCGTTCGCTGCAGCAGTGAATTTCTCAAGCTTCAGCCCTTCGGCATCACGAATGGCATTGACCGCGTTCAAGCAAGCTTGATTCCCATCACCTGCACGAAGCGTCAGTACAAAACAGTTACTGAAAGGCGAAAACTCCAGTCTGTCTCTCTCGGGGTGCTTTCTATGACTTCTCTGTAAGATTTTAAGGGCCGAACTTTGTCCCACTGTGAGCCTCCAGTTTTGGCTTGAGCTTGTAGCTTTCCTGCACCTTGTGCCACATCTGTGCACTGAAGCAATTTAACAGACACAGCTCATTTCATCTCCAAATGTTGTCCTGTTCCCTAGTGGTGGAAGTAGTATAGTAGCTTTGATTCCAAGCAACAAAACATTTCTTGCTTTATCTTGCCTATTCAGGGGATTATTCGCGGTGTACGCTTGTAGCACTGCTCAACAAGCACATCCCTAAACTAATATTTCCACTATTAGACACTGTCTCCCCATGGCGTTGTCCAAAGAGGTGTTGTACGCTCACGTCACAGGACGAGC